TACTGGCTATCTTGTGTAAAAAAAAAAAAGAGAGAAGTATATATCTCGTAAGCTTTCTCATGGGGAGATCTGCTGGGCAGTGGCAATAGCAACATTGAGGAAAGAAATGCAGAAATCTGTGTAATTTGCCTTTCATGTGTTGGGTCGTGTAAGCATAGACAACTTCCAGAATGTTTCTATTCAAAGAAAATGCCCCAGTCCAAGATTTTTTTTCCCTTATTATGCAGACTATTTGACAAACTTCCACATGTATCTTTGCTAGGATGGATTTTTTTCTCTTCACCAAATGATGCATGGCATGCATATGTATGTATACATGAATATGTATAGGGTCTGTCAAAGGGTTTGTTTTGTCATCAACAAAGGTAAAGAGCAAAGTTCCCATTCTCCTTCTTGAAATCGCAATTGTGTATGGATGCATGGTATTTTTATCCGTCTCTTAAATCTTTTTGCAACCAAACTTCAGCACTAGAGGAAATAAAAGAAAAAGAAATACATCTCATTCAAATCTTCCATCTTACTTTTAACTTTAAACCATGTGTCTTTTTGTTGTTTGTATGTTTTCTGAGATGGGCTTGCATATTGAAATGGTTCTTTCTCCGCCAGGCCCATTGAGAAAATACTGAATTGTTATCGATCAGATATCTTTGGATTACTTGATCTTTCTCCTGCTCCTTTCTCTCAAGTCTTTTTTTTCTTTTTCTTTTTCTTTTTCTTTGAGTATATCCGTTAGTTTGGAGAGAGATCTTAAAATTATACTTATTCATTTGTACGAAATATTTTGTGTTTACTGTTATCTGGAACAAGGATCAGATGGATAGTTTTTTTTGGGGGGAGGATTCAATAGGGGAAAAGATGTGGAGAATATCTCTATATCCCTCCTTCCCTCTAACGTCTCTAAGCTCTAAAGATAGTCTAACCACCGTTTTGAGTAACATTGCTCTGAGAGATCTAGAGACTAAACAGTTGATGGGCGAAGCATGGCATAGCGAAAAACGGGTCAAAAGACATGCTGATAGACAAGCTCGTCTTTTTAGAGGCTATATAAATAAATATATACAATAATATATATATATATATATATTATATTATTATTATTATTATTATTATTATTAAAATATTGGAACTTTTCTTTACTGTGTTCATCATTTAGTATCAATAACAATAGCAATAACAATAGCAATAACAATAGCAATAGCAATAGTAAAAAAGTAAAAGAATTTGATCGCTCATGCAATTCAACCGCTGTATGTGCCACTAAGGACTTTATTCTGGAACATCCCATCTCCATTTTCTGCCTAGTTGTGACAATAGGACAAGACAATGGGGAGTTTGGTAGACTTCTTTGCAACTTGGCTATTCGTACAAACTGCTACTATTTCCACATGTACAGTAACAAGTATAGTTCATTAAGAAAAAGTGTCGCAACAAGGACACATTTGGACTATCCGGAAGTGGCAATGGAAAAATAAAATTGAAGCTGAATCGGAAGTGGACGGAGGATCTTGGATCCGGTCCTAGCCGAAAAAAGAAAGCTCGTGTCTAATAAACATTCTTTGCAAAGAAATCTATCCGTCGTTTAACATGCATGGTACATGCATGGCACAACTTTGTTCCCATTCTCCATCGCTATTCCCGTTGACGTGATCAAGCCGTTCGTTTAGTATATATATATAATATATATTATATACATATAAATGTCCTCTTTCTCAATTAGTGTACTCAACACCGCCGAATGTCGGTAGTTAAATAGTTAAATGATCGGTCTATCTGTTCCAAATATTTTGTTGCCAAGAACAAAGAGAGATCGAATTTGAAAATCAGAAACCTATTGAGGGGAATTATCTCAAAGGACTGAGATGTGTAAACTGGTGTTTAATAAACAGATAGATGGAACAGATAGGACAGATAGTTAAAGGCTTGGGAGAGTTCTCAACTTTCTATATTGTAGACATCGTTGTGTCATTGCTGTGCATGGCAGGGAGAGTTCAAAAGTGGTTCGATCCCTTCAAAAAAAAAAAAAAAAAAAAAAAGCATGTGAAAAGGGTTCATGGCAATTAGGTACCACAGAGCAAAGTTGATTTTTGTGTGGTGACACATTTTTTTTCCACATGGCCCAATTCATCCCTTTCACAAGCTTAAACACAGTTCTAATAAACATTTATTGTGGAGAAATTCAGGGTTTCAACAATCAATTGATTTCACTTTCTGAAGGTTGGATATTTTTTTTTTTTATTGGACCATCACGTGTGAATACACGAAAAAAAAAAAAAAAGTTTACAAATTTGCTTTTGACATGTCCCTTGCATTGATCAAAGGCATATGTATATAACATGTAACATTCATGAATGAGGTATTATATAAATAATATATATTGGTATATTTATATTAAAATTACTTTTCATAATAGCAGCACGTTGTATATTGCCAAACCAGTGCCCGATTTTCATCGAACCGTTCAAACAATGTTTTCACCCCCCAAAGTAAAAAGTGAATATCTCAAGTGTCACAAGAAAAGAAACTCTATCTGTGAAAGGTTATACAAAGATCTCTATTATAAATGGATTTAACAATGAGGAATTTAACCGCCATGAAAGCGTTTTAGAGTCATAATTTATGTTAGGGCATTAGGCTGTTGAACATCTATCGAAAACAGTACATGATCATTCGGAGACCACAAAAAAATTCCAAGGGCATCTTGAGCCCTTATCTTATAAATATGTTTAAGGCTTAGAGAGACCCCAAAGCTGAGTCAAATGCCATTGGACCATCTTTTCCTTTGTGGAGAAGTCGCGTTCAAAATACGCTTGACAGTGGATGCAGTAACAGGACCGGCTCCCTTTACTTTGAAGGAACGAGCTACAATTGATGCATGGGTCGCTAGTGTAGTGCACCCAATTACTCGGCACCCAAACGCCGTGCCTATAGGGTAAAATAGGATAAGGTGCTTTCAAGGCAATCCTGTATTCTTGTTGAATTATCCTCGTCTGATTGTAGACAAAACAAACTTATCGACTAATTTCCTACATCTAGGACAAGCTTCAAGGTGGCATTGATATTATAGTTTTATGCCGTCTGTTAGGCTTATTTTGTATATGTCCCATATCTCTTAACATATCAAGGATGTGCGTAGAACTCGCAAAGCGCGTTTATTCTGCTATTTGTCGCGAGGTAATTCAAGTAGCTATGAACTCGACTCGGTATCAATGGCAGCATCATCAATTCTATGACAACAATATCATGTTCCTTTTTTCCCTTCCTGTAAAAGACGACGGAAAAGCTCCATAACGCTATTGCAGAGAAGAGTGCTGAACAGTGTGCGGCTGGAAGGAGGCCGGGCTGATCAATGTGGTCCTCATAGTGTTTCGTTCACATGGGAGCAATCCTAACAATAAAGATTGGTAAAGGTGGTGCTGAGGCGTATCAAACACCATTCTCACATTTGGGAGTCATATTCCCAATTGCGTACCTAGATCTGAAGGCAGCTGAGAGGAAGACAGTATTGGAGGTGGAAGCGGGAGTGGTAGTTGAGAGAATCGTCTTCGCCTCCGCCTTTGTTATTCTCTCCTCAGCTGGTGTTACTTGTATTCTACGACAGGTGGATGGCGTGTCGTAAGCAAGAGGAATAGGGCATAAGCCGTTGGTACAGATTGTCCTCCTCAACTTGAACTCTGTAAAGACGTCTTGCTATGGTGTTCGCCATGTCGACTGGCAAGTTCGACTGAATATAGGATACGTTGGATAAACGAACTTTAGCTGATATTGATATAGGTTTTGTATTGATGCATACTGTTAATCTGGAGCGACTGTGATCGGATTTTTCTGTTAAGATATTTATGGAGTGAAGGTTACTCTTTGGAAAGTCAGCAAATGCTTGTCTCCTCGTGTTATTCACAAAAGGTTGTCAAAGACAACTCTACTATCAAGAATACAAAAAGAGTTATTGGTACTCTAAGCTATAGCATGATTGTATACGGAGAGAGGCGCGCTAAAAAAAAAAAAAAAAAAAAAAAAAAAAAAAAGCGTCCTTTGAGATGTAGTTCGTACTTTTACCTCCAAGTCTCAGAACATACTTTGCACTCTTTATCGTCAGCCTCGCCACAGTCGAAAAGAACATTTTGAATGTGGGGGAAAGTGATTTCATTTGTCTTTGGGATATAGGGACTCGTGTACCGTGAGTACTGATCATACGCCCACTTGGCATTAGAAATCGTAGGCGCTGGTCGAGACCGCTAATAATTGTAGAGCGTGTATCAATTGTGTGCGGCGAAGCTTGTCCTAGTCCCTAGGATGCAGACCCCGAGTCAGGTTGGCTTGAACAAAGCGGCGTTGCCAGAGAGAAATAGAACTCGTTATTATTTAAAATTATTTAAAATATCATCGAGGCTTGCCCTGTCCTGATCTGACGATGAGTGGGTTGTTTGTGTAACGGTGAACCTCAAAAACAGACGAAGTTTGTGAGCTTGATCTCTCTAGGGTGACTCCATAGCCTGCAATCACGGTTTGTTGCAGGTACTTATTGGTACTCCTGCGGACCAGACTGTGCTGTGGCCTTGGCCTCGCCTTGGCAATTTAGAGCCAAGGAGAGTGAGGGAAAGAGGAAGAGAGGTAAAGAGGGAAGGGATGAAGTCGTCTTTTATCAGTCTTTTTATAAAAAAAATGCTCATGCGAGCATAATTAATATTAACGACCCTTGATCATTTTAAAAACCACAAGAAGATTGTTGTTTCGACAAGTACACTATTAGCTGGCGTTGTGGTTATACAAAAGTCGGAAATCCTATACGGGTCAAAACCACACAACTGACATTACCAATCATATAGGCTGACACCTTTCTTTAAGATGTTTACGATCGCAATCGTGCATGGCTTGTGAATATTGTAAGAATGCACATGCATGTATATCATAAAAATGCCAATCTGATCAGTTCGATGACTGGCCTAAAATCGCTAACAAATGCACATTGTTTTTATTTTATTTATTTATTTACATGCAATGTCAAAAAAAAAAAAAAAAAAAAAAAAAAATAGAATAGACACTAGAAGAACAAAATTGTATTTTTTTAAGGCCTTAAATCAAAGATGCATCATCATCGTCATCAACCAGCTCTTTGCAGTCTAAAAATACGAGTTGGTCGCTTTGTTCCCTATTGGAAGACACCACAGCCTCGCCTCGCTCTAAAGCGCTATCGAACCGATCACTTGACATGGCCTCCATCATTTTTTGATTATTATCACCTCCTACGGGAATATCTGATTCATAAAAGTCATCATCCAGGTGAAAGACCCCACCATGAGGCAAAGTTGAGCCCCCATCATTCTCAGTTTCAATCCCATTGAGCCCTCCATCTCGACGGAGTATCTGTGACGATCGCTTTGAGGAGCCATCATTCAAAGACATCTCCTTGTGACGACCACCTGTGTCAATGAAAATAGATGCACTTCCAGGCATATCTACCTCGTTGTCGCCATCAGGCGAAAACATCATCAATGTACTCTGCGCCATCGGGCTAACCCCATCGATATGATCATCTGCTGAGTGAGTGGATTTGCTGGGCAAGTTCAAATTAGGCGATCCATTGAAAGATGAAGGAGAGCCCTTGTTGCTGAAGCTGATATGACCATGAACCTGCATGGGATGAAGCGATCGTCCAGGCGCTGAAGTACCAGCGACACTACCGCTTCCATTTAGGGAAATAGATTCCCCAAATGAAGACACCAAGGGCGAGGTAGCTGTATTCGAGGTACTGCTGTATGCTGCTGCCATAGAGGAAACAGCTATAGATGATGAAGGTCCTGAGCTAGGTCCAGACATTGATCCATATCTTCCCTTAGCTAGGTATTCTGCTGCTGGCGGGGTGGAAAGAAATGTATGTTGAGTGTAATGAGGTTGCTGCGGAGTCATTGAGCTGAACAATGTTTGTTTGGGGCTTCCTGAAGCATTGCCAAGACTGATCAGATGTGCATCCTCAAATGACAAGGTTGCCGCTGTGTATAGAAAAGTGAAAAAATAAAATAAAATAAAATAAAAACAAAAAGTCATGGTTAGCAATAATAATACCAACAGAATGAAAATTTTGCAGGTCAAGACTCATGCAATCATCTACAGGTCGGTGAAAAATTATAAAAAGACTGTATGCTTAGATGGCCATATAAAATCATAGTCACTTTCAAGAATCTTGCTCACCTCTGAATGATGAAGGACTGGCACTGCCGATCGAAGGCGACATACGGCTCTGGTTGATTGGTGAGCTGGAATGCCTGTGCATACTGGACGATATGGCGGACGATAAGCTCTCCGATAAGCCTTCTGCGTCACTATCATGGATGTCACGTCCATTGCTATCAATCCCATCAACAGTTACAGAGGCTACTCCTGAAATCCAAGGCCTATTCGGCATTTGGTTCTTTGGGGGCGTAGCTGCCACTGGCCGTTCATCCTTTCCTGCAACAAGTGAGATACCCCGGCGCAAGTTGAGCGTCTTTGTTTCTGGTAAGAGTCCATTTCTGAATGTCGTCTGGATCGACTCTTGAGAACCAACATATGTCTGGAACGTAAATTGAGGGGATTTCCAAAGTAGATGCTGTGGCTGCGTTAATGTTATAATAGAATTATTCGCTCCATGCGCTGCCAAAGTCTGGTTCAATAGTGGATATTGTCCTTTCCAACCAGAGTGCATTCCACTATCATAGGTCGAAATCTCTGCCTGTGCAAGCCAACGCGAGCCTGAAATACTCTGAGCTGACTTCTTTGCTCTGCCGGACTGCTGCAATAAAGTTTTTTGTCCCACCAACGGTGCTAATGATTTTTTAACAGACATCCAATCGCCTGATCTGTTGAGATTCCACTCTGCCACATCCTCTGGTGCCAACACCAAATCTGATATCTCGACGACTCGACCTTACAAAAACAAAAAGTAGCATTAATATTTAAGACGAGTTAATGTAGTTCACATTATTAATCTTTGACTATGACATCCTACTTACCATTGTACGTTTTTTTGCTACGGACACTGCTGATCCAGCACCGGTGAAGTGTCAACATCCCAAGAGGATTAAACACGTAAATATCTGCGAAACTAGGCCCACGCTCAGGCTCGGATAAAGAGCCCTGGGAGGCCAATTGCTGTTGAACAGCCAGTGGAACCTCAGAGCTCTCGTTTGCAGCACTATTGGCCCGCGCTGTAGCTCCTTGACCATGGTGGCCATTTATTGCCTCGCCACGGTTCGAATTATGCCTTGTTGATGTTGCATTGCCATGTGATCCTGTCCAGCTCTTCGTGCGGCTCCGCACCGTGGCCACAGGGCCACGACGGCTCGTCTCGACAACAAGGCCCGGCAAACTAGCAAGACCATGGGCAGCATGCTGCATAACTGCAGCGGCAGGAGGACTCAGCGTCTGCCACAAATGCGAAGCCTTGGACTGGATTTTAGCAGCTGCGCTCACTGGAGGCGCCTTAGATCGATTGATGAGCAACGTGCTAGAGTTTGCTTGGGTTACCTGAGAGCTTGACCCATCTCCACGCAAAAGGCCACCATTTTCAGAATTAAACGATCCATCTTCATGTCCTTGATACTCGCTCGGTGAAAGCATCACATTTCCTGGATCGGATGCAAAAACAGTTGTTGAGGGTAAAAAGTAGGCTGCAATCATGGCGCGTTGTCGCCCAGCAGCTGAAAAACCATTGTGCTGTTGTAGTCTACTAAGGTAGCCCTGGCTTTGATCTGATGTTCCAGTACCAGCCGAGCTTAGTGAGTCCTGTGAGTTCTCTCGGAGCAGTGGGCTAGGACGTTTTTCGGGCACAGGTACAGAAGACTGAGAGTCAAATATATCTAATCCATTCCCCTCAGAGAGGATAACATCAGGGACATGGTGCCGCTGCTTAATGCGGCAGAGCGCATTCAAGCTCGTCGGATACTCAATCGCAGTAGCAGACCAATTGACGACTCCAGTATACATATGTGCTCCAACATCAGGCGAGCCTCCGAACGGGTTGACTGCATACAAATGTGTAGTTCCTCTTGAAGTCGTCACCGCCACCCAAGTCTCATCCTCGTTGAATACAATATCCTCCACGTTTGCGTGAGTAATACCACGAGCGAGCTTATAGAGGTGTCGGGACCCATGTCCCATAGTCGGACGTATCTCATGCACATGAAAGACATTTCCATGACGCGACACAGTGAGCAAAAGTCTTCCGGAAGGAGAGAACTTACAGCCCGTGATGGGGTGATCATGTGGTTTGAAATGGGCAACAATAGGCATGCTGGGAAGTGAGATATCTCTAATGATGACCTGCAGATTTCGATAAATGTGTATGCAGAAGCAAATCATGAGACGAGCCACAAAATTATGTTAGAAGTATTGCATGGCGCTATGAAGGTTGGTGATCATGGATAGTAATCAGAAACGATTCGTTGAACATACCGTTCCCACGGCTTCACGTTTTTGTGATGAGCTGTCATCATGTCGTCTTCTATGGTGGACGTGACTAGGGCTCCGCTCATGATGATCAACCGCTGCTGAAGCTCTCCTTGCATGGTGACTAGGTGATCTATTGAAGCCAGATTGAACAGGTGGTGATGTCGAGGCAATTGCTCCTGTTCCTGAATTCCCTGACCAGTATGAGGAAAAGGTCTGGTGCGCGAACCCACCTATAAAGGAGACATCAGCCAAAAAAAAAAAAAAAAAAAAAAAAAAATTAGTAACATAGAAAGGTGATAGATATGGGTTTTTTTTTTCTTTCATGAATATAGTGTTTGACACGTACTGAGCATTTTAACACCACCGATAACTTCTTTGGCAACGCCCTTGGCCAGGTCCTGGTACCCACTGCCACTGTCTGTCTCGTGCTCTCCGTGCTTAGTATCTACATTATCATGGGGAGCCTCACTAGTTGTAACATATGCCAATAGCCTTGTGCCGAGATCAAAGACGCCGGGATATGCGACATCTTGCAAGATTGTCTGCTTTGGGTGAAGGGGTTGGAGAGTCAGCTGACTAAGCAGAGAGAGGTGGGCACTCTCTCCAGGAGCTGTAAGCGCCTGACAACGTGACGAAAGAAAAGAAAAAGAAGTTAAAGCTCCGTGTGAGATGACAAAGAATAACGATTCATTACGATCAATTGCAATAAACCAAGATCTCTTCAGTCTATATTACGCTATAGGTTATGTTTCTTACCACTACGATCGCTCGCTCGCTCACATCGAGCGCTGAAATATCATAATCATGACTTTCACCAAAATCAAGCGTCTTAACTACTTGATGCGTGGCAAGTGAATAGATCCGTAGCTTTTTGGGCGCAGAGGCACCGTCTTCAGCGTTTTTGTTCGATCTATAGATATGATCAATATGGGATTGATGATTGAGGGTTGTTTCAGTTAGTTGGATCAGCAGAATAGTTCGATTCCAAAGCCCATACTGCGGGGGTTGCAGCTTTGGATCGCTGATATTTGTGAGAGATAGACTTTAAATAATATGCATACATAATGGCAGCAAGAGGGCGATGTTGTTCAAACTGGTCAGTCTTTCCATTCGATACTCTTGGTGATGGGAGTATCTGCTCATTTCGAAAAAAAAAAAAAAAAAAAAAAAAAAAAAAAGTTAGAGTGATGCACTAACCATCACAGTACAAGTCCTACAACTGCTACAGTCATTTGCGCACCGTCGTTAGAATGAAATAGCTTTTCTCCTCAAGAATAAAAACGATGATCTTATGAAGAAGCTAGCGTAGCCATGAGTTTGGAATATACAACAAGATTCTCTTTGTGGACAGTATAATATACCTTTATAAAGGAGACTTCTTTCAGCGTATTACGAATAGAGGTAATCTCGTGAATATTGTCTGGATGAGTGATGTCCCAAATCTGAAAGCCATCTGTGTAACCAAGCAGAAGACAGAACCGCCTATGACGACGACAATGTCAGGTATTGAGGATGTAGAATATAAACCAGTGAGTAATGTGGAATTGTATATTGTCAAAATCCATATTTGTGTCCTGATGCAGTATATTGCCTGAGCTTTACTGCTTTTTTTTCTATGTATCTTTCCCTGTTCCTGCTCCTCTGTCTATTCAAAAGCATTCATACGCTCCTGTCCCTGCTCTCAGCTGTCGCAAGGAGGCTCGCTCCACCAGGGTAAACAAAAATTAAAGAGACTTTCCATTGTATTTCTGTATGGGAATATCAAAATGGAGCTTGGCCAAGCAATGAGTATGAAGTATGAAGATATCCATTGTGTTATTGTTCAATGTTGTTCTTTCGCTATTATACTATTTGTTCACCCTGACCCCTTGTCTTTCATGATCCTGTCCCTGAGCTTCAATCCGGAAGATATAAGACTGACGACACTTTTTTTTAAAAAACCTGGTGATTGACATTGCATTTAGATACTTCAGTCCAAAAATAAATCAAAGATAACAAGTGCAGTCTCCGCATCCATATGTTTTGTTTCTTGCTATCTTGTTTGCTTGCGTCCTGTGTCAACCATTCGGTTGACAATTAGATCGTATCGCTGTTATTTTGTCTACACCATCAAAAAGAAAAAGAAAAAAATGATGTCGCCATCGGTGTTCCATTTTCTTCTTTTCATATCTGACGACTGCATGCTTGATCCAGTGATGAAGTGATGAAGTGATGAAGTGATGAAGTGATGTATATTGTAGCTGATGAAAGAGAAAAAGAAATGCTACATACCGAGAATTCTTGTTCTTAGAAATACTTCCCGTGTCGATCCAGTCGAATGCCGAAAAGAGGACGACGTCTCCATTTGTGAGAACACAAATATTATCTTGATTGGTTCCCAAGAGTGAGTTGCCAGAACCTTGTATCTGTGGATAGTAATATGGATTAGAGGGGTTCGCTCCTGCTGTGCTGGAAGGAGAAGTGAAGCCTCTGGAGGGCATAGAGAAGGATGTCGGCAGCGTGTTAGCTACATAAGACGATACTCCTGTTAAAACCGATGATAGAGATTCAAGAGCAGATGGATCCCTAATGATCAAGCAACGTGTTGTTTCTTTCGGGTTAACACCATCTCGGTAGCCATCCATGGGACAGTATTATGAAAAGGGCGAAATAGAATGAGACCTACCTGATGAAGATTGGTTCTGCCCGGACGCCAGCCCCTTGCTGTTCCTGCTGTTGCTGCTGCTGCTGCTTAGGATACAGGTGTTGCTCAGTCATAGTGGGAAAGGACGAAGAGGAGCAGCGGGCTGAAGGGTAATAGGGTGAGAATGGACACAGGAAGGATGCGTGAGAAGATACCAGGTTGAAGTGGAAGGAAGAAAAAGATGGGCACTTTTAAGTGAAGCAATGGAATGTAACAAGGATAACAAAATTATAAAAAGGGTTTGGTTTTTGTATATTATGTTCCTGAGACGTAAATGAAGTATAAAAAAGAATAATGAAGTAACCAATGGGGAAAGATTGAATGTTGATGGATGAAGAAAAGTGGAAGAGAGAGAGGACGACAAAAAAGAAAAGCTGCTTTCCTACTCCTTTTCAGTAAGCATTACTTTAGATAAGAAATATTTATTCGTGCAGAGCATGAGCCAAGGAGGCGTCCACTCCTACCGCAGCGCTAGGAACCACGAAAACCGAGTTTTAAAAATAAATGTGGATTTGCTGATGATCATGTGAGCCTTACAGCTAAATACATTAGTGTTTCAACAGCTGACCTACTGCCTAAGCTTTACATGATGTCAGAAATACTGGTCTATTTGTACCATCATCGGGTAGGACGCGCTATGGTCACATAACTGAACCGGACACGTTGCACAGACCGAATCACAAATGGTGATGCTGTTGCCACCAATCCTGTGGGCGCAGTGCTTGTTGTTGCAATAGTGGCCCCTCTTGTCATTAGATTAGCAGATTCTGACCCTTCTGCTCCTGATCTCATGGCTAACCACCGCCTCAAACCGTCCCACTGCTGTTCAATGTTGTCATGCAGCCTCTTATTTACGATAACCCAACGCAGATGACAATAATTATTTCGCAATACAGGGACATCTGCATCATTGTCTCCAAACACTTCTTGCTCCTGCAGATACCGTCGGGCACTCTGCTCAATAATGTCTTGCACTAAACTAACCACCTGATCGGCTACTATGCCTTCGCATGCAACAAGATCTAATCGCTCCAGGCGGTGTATCTGTGCAATCGTAGAAGGCCACCCTCTGATGTAAAGTGTTTCCCAGTTACCTACAAGCTCCAAGTCTTGGATTGTAAAGACCCGTGGCAAATTATCAATTGCTGGCTGTTTCTTAGAGGATCGACTAGGCATGGGACCAGTATAGGCTAATCGGACTCGGCAAAGACGAGGACAATTGAGTAGAGAGGCATAATCAAATGTCCATGCCACCTCACCTTCCAAGTCTAAGTCCGTCAATCGAGAGAGGGTCGAGTTAAACCATGATAGCGGTATAGTCGTCAGCTTTCCACTGAACCATGATCGAGCTTTGATCGCTTGCAGAGTGGACGAAAAAAGTTCAGTGGCATCATTTAGGTTCATAATCACATCCTGCGCAAGGCCTGCGATATCGATTCGCTTCATCTCGCTATGAGTCTGAATGCGACTATACTTGTGACGAGTAGTCATGGATAAGGTTGAATAAATTGCTGGTTGAGTGGAATCCTGGGCCGTGCGCTGTAACCGCCATGGGCTAAAAAGATCGTTTTCGGTGGTGTATAAAGCAAGTTCCTCTAGCTTAGGGCATTGGCTCAAAAAGCTCACAAGTCCACCATTATCCTGGAAAAAGGGCTCCGGTTCCTTGTTCAAATGCAACAATAGAGTCTTCAGCCGGCGAGTAGGTATCCGCTCCAGAAAGAAAACAGCTTCTGGCCAAAACTGAACATCAAGCACCTCCAGCTGATCACCCATGGCCTCTACCAGTTCGATCAACCGCCTCGCAGGCTGCCTTTCAATTGGCACAGCTTTATTTTCAATTTTTAGCTCACGTAGTGTCCCAAAGAGCCGTTGATGATCCCAAATAAAGGTCAATGTCCTGTCCAATTGCGACATGGAATATCCCTTTGCTGACCTGGATACCTTATTAGTATGCGTCGTTCTTTCCCACTCAAGATCATCGTCTGTCAATAAACAGTAGTCAGTTCCAAGGAGTTCAAGCCTACGTAAGTTGGCCATCATGAAGTATTTGATTCGAGGCACCTGGATAGGCATATTAATTGCTAATGATGTCACTTGGGGCAAGACTCGATCCATCATGGCATATTCGATCCTATTGCGGATTTTAACCATAGGTCGATGCCATATCACATTAGCCGAATAGCAATTAGGGATCAGAGGGAACAATGACATAAAGGTTTCGTACAGCATGGGATCATGAAACATGTCGGTATAGTATGATAGATAATCGACGGTTGAGGGTGTAGGCAACGACGGAACCTCAGGACCATAAGGTGGTAATCTGAAGATAATGGAGTTGGAGTGCTTAGTGTCATAGATATCTGGTTGCAGCAACTGGGACGAATGGATGAGGACATGGACAAGGCTATCATATCTGCGAGTGCGCTCAATAGAAGTCCAGCGGCAATTGCGTTCATTGTACAACAGACGAAAGGGAGAGGCATAGAGGAAAGAGACAGCGATGCGGAAGAAAGTCCGGTTGGTGAAGAGCAAAGAATGCAAAGATTCCCTATCGTTACGCAGATAAGAGATGATCAACCATAAACATTCCTCTGGTATGACCGATGGCATGGCATGTCTTTTTTTTTTTTGATTGATTGATCAAGACAAGGAAGAGAGTGTCATCCCAGTTGGAGCGGGCGTGGCTTGTCCTCGGCTTTGCTTGCTACTGGCTGGGTCATGTTCCTAGCTCCCATGAAAGTCTTTTTTCATCTTTGCTTTACCATAATTCACATTCACATGCTTAGACACTTCAATAAAATCTTCTAGATCACCTTATTCCTTTTTCCTCTTTATTTTTCTCATCAAACGCAATGTCCAAGGAACAGACCGGCAGGAATGGTTCTGACAAGAACGCTGTCACTGTCGGCTCACTCACTCCTGTCAAAGTGTCTGTGCCCAACACGAACCTGCACCTCGCAGGTATTCTCCAATCGACTAACCACAGCTCGCGTAGACTTGGCATCATCTGTCATGGCTCCCTTGGTATGGAAACAAAGGGAAAGATTCGCTTCAAATGTGCTATATAACTGTCTTTTTCTCAACCAATTGAAAAAAAGAGGGACGGTCTCATATTTAAAACTGCCTTTTTCATTTTCCTCCATGGGCGTATTCTTTTTTACGTGATCCGCAAGACTTCGCTTTGAGCTTTGAGCTTTGTGCTTTGTATTCAATCACTAACGGATACATTCTTTTCTGGGCTAGGTCACAAGAACTACCTCTTCCAACCCACCCTCGCAAACGCGCTTGCACCTTACATGGACACCTTTCGGTTTGACTTTCGGTAAGTGTACAAGTTCAAGTTTTTTTTTTTTTTTTTTTTTAAAAAAAAACAGAAAATTGTATCCTGAACTCATACCTTCGTCTGCCTTGCTTTTACAATTTTTGCCAGAGGCAATGGTGAGAGTGATGGCCAGATGGGCTACTCGAACTGGAATGATGATCTAGCAGATATCGATGCTGTCATCTCTCACTTTGAGCGCCAAGGCTATTACATTTATGCTCTGATCGGCCACTCGCGAGGTAATTGATGTTTACTTTAGCTGATGATGTTTTCAGCACTGCAGATCCAAGGTTTTATCCTTGCCTTGCCCTTTTGTGACATACTGATAAAGATGAGAATCAATTCTTTGACGGCTTGCAGGCGCCATTTCAGCTCTGAACTACGCTGCTAACTTCAACCACATGCCAATGATCCCTTATATCATCAGCATCAGCTCCCGCTTCAATATGGCTGATGTTAGGCGTAAACATGGTCCCGAACTAATGACTCTCCTTGAAAATCAGGTAAATTTCTCTTGCTCTTTCTTATTTATGTTTAAGCGCACCTTTTTGTTGCTCTTGATAGTAAATAGTTAACTAACCCTTATTCAACTCTACCAGGGTCATTTTGAATGGCATGCACGCAGTGCAGGAAAAGAAATAACTTTGCGGGTTACACAACAGCATTTTGATGATTTTGTCAATTTGGACACGGCGTCAGGTAATTTTTTTTATTAATACTGTTTGTATTCTTTAGGTGCCTTGTGCAACATTAACATGTAAACGTTGTTTCCTTGTTATCATCAAGTTATCCATATCCCTACAATGACAAACATTCTTCTGTGTCATGGATCTGACGATGAGGTAACTAATAATTACCGGACTATCGTTGCTATTTTTGTTTTCGAAAGTCATATTAATTTTTTTTTGTGTCGGTTTCAAGGTAGTACCTGTTCGTGATATTGCTGATCTTCATAGCCATCTTTCACATGCCAGGACAACCCTTCGCATCATTAATAGGGCTGATCATAACTACAAAAAGCACTACAAAGAATTATCAGAGATGGTTGCACATTATTTCTCAGCGGAAGGGCGCAAACAGGAGTGGAGCAGACGGGTTTTACCGAATTGGAAGACATGGGTCCACGCTGTTGAGGGCGTACTCAACTTTAGGACCGTAGGCGATATCTGGATACCCTCTAAAGAAGACGGAACTGTGAGCTATCTTCGTCCTGGCATTATCTATCGCTCTGCTGAGTATGTTGAGCATCACCGAAGGTTTGGTTTACAGTATAGAAACGTTTGTTCTTCAATTTCCATGAAATTAAGTTTTTTTTTTTTTTTTTTTTTTTTTTTTTCCTTTCTTGTCTACGACAATGCATAGCGTCTCTAAACCTACACCTGAAGGTATCAAGACCATGGAGGCATTAAATATCACAGACACATTTGATCTTCGCTCAAATTCAGAGATAGAACGCCGTGGTACTTTGTAAGTATGCCCTAATCATGTGTTGTCCTTAATCGTAGTAGAATGAAATCAAAAGGGAGAACGGGATTTGGAAGTAAGGAATGAATGCACTCTCCAGTCACTTTTTGCCATCAACTAAACATTATCTTTTTTTTTTTTTTTTTTTTTTCCTTTTATTTAGTGATACTGGAAAGATTAGGCGTCATCATACGCCTGTCTTCTCTGAAGTTGATTATTCTCCTGCACAAATTGCTCTTCGTTTCAGCATGTATCTTGGAGGGACTGAAGGTTTTGCAAATGCATACATGTCCATGTTGCCCAATATTAAACAGTTTTTGCCACCAATTCTGGAGCATATTGTCAATAAACGGACACCGTTCATTGTTCATTGCACAGCAGGCAAGGACAGGACAGGAGTTGTCTGTGCTCTTTTGCAAATGATCTGTGGCGTGGATGAAGAGCAGATTGCATGGGAATATGAGTTGACTCGTCGTTGCATGGCTAGTAAGTTGATTGCTCAAAAATATTTGTCAACCAATACTTTTTACTTTTTCTAGACTGTGTATGCCTTTATTGACTTTCTACTCTTGTATTCGGTTATGATCATCTTAGTCAAAGAAGAAGATGTGAGGTTCTTGAAGGCAGCATTAGGCGAAGACACCACAGATGCCAAGGTTCGTGGGATCTTATCGGCAAAGTAAGTAGAATATATTGGATTTGTTTCTTTTTTTTTTATGTCGATATTCTTTTCTGACAAAATATTTGTCATTGTCTTAAAAACAGAGAGGAGTACATGTTTCGATTCCTAGAGCAGTTCCATGCCAAGTACGGCACGATTACTGACTTTTTGGCGAATGAATTGGAAATGACCATGGAGCAAATTGATGCTGTACGGAACGCTTTGTTAGTTAAGATCCCTGTGCCTCGCGCAGTTTTGTAGACTTCAGCTGCTTTCTGTACGTTGAAATATACCTTTATTCTGTTTTAATGCACAGAAACCTAAAAAATGAAATCAGAAACATCGAGCGCTTCTGTTGTTCGTTTGAATAATAGCTGTATTTGGTTTGATTTGGATTCATATATTTACTGCTCATATGTAATCTGCTACAAATGCAAAGGGTTGCCGAATGATGACTCTTTCGTCAGGAATTGATATAGAGCCACAGCTATGGCGAGGTATAAGAAAAATCTAATGATCCAGCGGGTCCATACTTTGGAGACACCATCCACCTCGGTTATCAGATCCATGTTTCTGGCAAAGATTTCTCTAGCTTCATCTACGATAGCCTGCCGTTCCTTGATAGCCTTTTCTGAAGTATCATCCAGTCCTGGAATAGAATTAAGTTGAGTCTTTAGTTCATTTCTTAGCTTAATGGGATCCTTCTTCTTGCCCTTTTGGTTGTCATTGTAATTGTTACTGCTGATGGTTACATTGCCCAACGATGAAGGAGAAGATGATGACGGTGGCGCTTTTTCACGGAATGTGAAGATAGCAATTCCGCCATCATGCTCACCCCCCAATTTCTTATTAGGCGGTGAAGGGAAGAAGCTTGTCGCCTTTACAATTTTCGATCGGACAATCTGACCTCCGAAAAATATGCCCAAATACATTGTTGCTGGGAAGGCTACCAGTTTCTCTGGATGATGTTTTCCAATGTCGCGAATATGTTCCTATCGACAGAGGGTAGGTTGGATGGTGTTACATGAGGTGGGGAAAATATTCCTGTTTAATGCCTAAGAGTAAGCAATGATTTACCATGTACTGTTGTAAGGACTTTGATGGGGAAACGTTCTGTTTCCAGTCCTCGCCATAAAAGTATGCTAAATCTGCCTCGAATGCCTCAGTTCTTCGTAACTCTGGCGCATACGCATGCAAAACCCAGGGATGGATCTGAGAAACCTTTTTCAGGTGATTTTCATACTCCTCTTCAAACGTCTTGTATACATAGTAAAATCCGAGAAGAAGTTGGCGATAAATCTTATGAAAAAGGAGGCGGAGCGAACAAAGAGCAAGAGATGATTGTCAGCAGCTCTCCGCATCATGATAAATATAATATCATATGCTATTATAGCTCAAAAACTATCACAAATGGTTCAATTCTTGTTTCTCTATACAGACCCTGTAGTCAAGCACAGTGAAAAGACCAAGCTGCACCAGTCTGTCCAATTTTCCGTGCAAGCCTTTCGTTTTTGCCCGTAGTTCCTCTGTAAGGAGCTGGGGTGTTCGTGATGCTGTAGATGCTGTTGTTGCCATGAAGAAGGTAATGTACGAATGTGAATAAAGGAGTGTTTGAAAAAAATCATAACCTGCTGTGGTCACTTGATCTCCTTTCCCTGCTAGGCGAGCATCGACATCAAAAATAGAGTGAACTACAATAACCACTTAATTTTGAATACAAGGATTATCTAAAAAAAAAAATGATTCCTAGAAATTTCGAAGCTCTAACGGCGATGAATACTTTTATTTTCATAATAATTGGGATCCATGGGCTGTGGGAGATTTATTAGGACTGGACTCTACAGACGCGCTACCTTACTGCAAAGCGCCTTACATTGTCGTACTGTCACTGAATGACATCCTTATTCGATAATCACATGTTTGAGCGGAGAACTCTGGATTTCAGTGGAGCTCGTGACAAGCCTTACTTTTTACCTAACATTTTGTGGCGAAATCATCTTCTAACTGCTGCCCAACACGCGGCCCTTAGCATATTTGCTCAGAGGTAGGCCTTTAGATCTTTCCCTAGTCGACAGTAAACTTTCCGATGTCTGTTCAAGAACTCAGCCTCTCAAATTCCTTTGATAGCCTTGACGAAAGCTAGAGCCCACATCGCTTGTGCTTACCTTGAAAGTATCTTGAAACCACGCCTTTGATCCAACGCGCGGATTCTATGCTCACAGATTAAATTTTTCTTATAACAATTTGTCTCTCTAAACGAACCACGCTATAAAACTGAAGAACTATCTAGTCCAGAATGTAGTTGGTGTCCCATCCTCCGGAGAGGATCGCTTTACACTCGCCATAAGTCTAGTTACGTTCCCTCGGTAAACCCTTCGGGTGCTGCGCGATTATTGCCACGGCTCATCACCGCGTTTAGCGTCGAAAACATACTGTTACAGGAAAGGAATCGCCCCATCCTTTCAACCGCTGCTGTCCTAACAAGCTCTGCAACAGAACCCTGCCTGCGGCGGGTGGGGCTAACGTAGGTCCTGGACGGCACCTGTCGTGATGCGTACCTTTTTTTTTTTTTTTTTTATTTTTTTTTGATAACAAGGACCCATAGGGTCATGGAGGCTTGAGAGTGCACCTCAGGGGCACTTTCATTTCTATTCATTAGGTCAGAACATTGTGTGACAGTCATGGTGGGTCCTTAATAAAAGGCTCCCGCCTGGTAACAATAAAAACAACTTTGATATCCTCGACTCGCGACATAGAAAACATCTCATTTTCTACACTCTATGAACAAAATGCTCCAGAAACTATAGTCAATAAACGGCTATTACTGCACAACCAGTGAGAGCTGCTGCATCCATGATTTCATAGACCCTGACCGCCGCGGTTTATACTCAAAGTCCACCTTTCCGAAGTGACCTGTTGCGCAACGTGTCGCGATGCGCATCCATTGTCGTACCACAAGAACATTTTTATTTTTTTTGATAATTGGATCCACGAGATCGTAAGGATTTATTAGAAATAGACTCTATAAATATGTTGCCCTATTACTAGGGGCGCAAATAAAACGTTTTCCAATAGTCGGTCTTAACCGCATCGTTGAACTATCACTGTACAACATCCTATTCACAAACCACATCAGCATGAGTGGTAACTCTTGATCCCTACGGAACCTGTGACGAGCCCTGCTCCCTACTTGGCCTGTTGTGCGCGAAAGTCATCTTCTAGCCACAGTCCTCAATCATCAAAAAGTGACACCCTCCTAGCCGTTCCATTACTGTCAGTTCTAATTGTTGCCGATAACTCTCAGCTACTCTTTGGTCAGCTTCCGTCCTGATCGCTTCCACGTCAGCTGTTCGTCGTTGTCTCAGGTCTGCTACGTCTGTGCTACCCAACACAGGTGCGTCCCCTAGCGCGTTTGCTCACAGAGGTAATGCCTTTAGTTCTTTCCCAGTCGACAGTGGCTTTTTTTTTCCTGTTAACAAGAACCCACAGAGGTGAGGAATTTTATTTCATAATCTCGCTCTAAAGTAATGATATCGCCCTCAACTATGAAACAAGCGAAACTCTCAAAGTTCGCACGGGATGGCTGTGAAGAGCCAATTCGTATCCATGTTTTTCTCTACCAATGTACACCGTGATCGGTACTCGAAGTCCATCCTTCCGATGTGGCCTGTTGCGCCCGTGAAAAGCCGCGGAGGCTGGCGTGCCGACTCTAGCTAAGGACGACTTTTAATTTTTTCTATTCGATCAAATCCACTGGCATGTGGACCCAAATCTTGCGGGATTGGTCTGAAATTTCTACTTTGGACTCCGTCAAACTTTGTGATCATCGCTGTCCTAGTCAAGTGGGTGGATGGGGGGATGTGCTGCCAGATGTACCGCTGGTTCGGCTGGGGGGTGGAATATATACCTAAGACATGTGGCCAGCCAGGCGACTTAGGGTAGTGCACCCACGATCTTAGCCTTAGCGGAGAACACTAGGCTGTCTCGGAGAGAAAGTATAAAAACTCAAGCAAATCCCTGACCTGGCACATGTTTGCTTCACTTTATGTGCCTTAACCAGGACTCGAACCCGGCCCCTGGGCTAGACAGGAGGGTGCCCTGACGAGTATACTACTCAGCCATTGGGCAATTCCCAGTCGACAGTGGCTTTACAGCGTCTATTCCTTTAAATTTATTATGTAGCTGTGTATATCACCTGATCAGGAGCCTGTGCTTATGAAATATATAGATTTTATAATTAAGATATTATCACCAAGCCCGGTTAGCTCAATCGGTAGAGCACCTTTCCTTCCTACCATAAATTTTTTAATAAAATTGTGGTTGCCTTTTGCAAATAAAGAAATACTTAATTTACTCAGCCAATTCGCAACGGTCAGTCCAACGGATAGGCCTATTCTCTTACTTTTATCTCCCCCTTCCCCTTCATCTAATGGCGGATCGACTTCCACCGCCATCTCCCCCTCCGTCTTCCTCGAATGAGGTAGATGAGGGACACGATCCCCTGGCTCAGGCAGGGGATGTAGTAAAAAACAATAAAATTAAGCAGTCCCTGAGCTTTGCGGAGATGGCCCGCAAAAGCTTATCCAAGAAAGAAGTGCAGACCAGTTGGAATGCACTTCGTAAGAACGCAGTTGTCCGTGCGTTCAGCACAGAGGTTGAGGAGCACTCTGTGTTTTTCACCCCACACCACGCTCCCACCACCTTCGCTGTCAAGTATGACAGGAAGACCCACCTCGTCTCTGACGTGGTGGAGGCCATTCGCCTGGCTTTCCCCAAGGCAGTTGGTCTTGACCCTGTTGTCCCAGGGGTCGTAGTGGTTCTCGTGAGGACACAAAAAGAGGTGGACGAGGCCATTGCGTCTCCTCCTCTCCCCTGCAATCCTGCTCCTGTCAGAGCATACCATACGGTCCATTCCACAGGAAGCCGACTCAGGATTCGGGTTGACCGAATCACCCTCTCTACTCCGGAGGATCGTCTGGAGTATATCAAAAATATCTTTGGTAAATTTGGCCGTGTAATCCACACCAAGTTCCATTACGTCAAGGGATCGGAGACTCTTTTGCTCCCTTCCTTCGAATTTGTGTTAGAGCTCTCTGGGGACTCCCCTCGAGACCTCCTTATCCCCCGCGTGGCCCAAGCTGAGGGTATTAACACGCTTTTCCACTGGTATGGGCCCCAGTACTGCTACAAGTGTGGTGAGGAGAACCACGTCAAGCAGTCCTGCCCCCAACCACCCGAGTTCGATCTCCTCTCGGCCCCTAAAAGAGTCATTATGGCTCGCGCGTTCTTGCCTGCGAACGCGCCCGCAAGGGCCCCTCCTGCGGTCCCTCAAGCTCCCAAGGCTACCAAGGGTCCCAAGGTCAATAAGGACACCCCATCCTCCGACAAGGAGGAATGGACAACTGTCACCTCCACCAAGAGGAAAAAGGCAGCAAAGAGGACTTCTTCGCGGAGCACAGGCTCAACTTCGGCATCGGAAAGTGATGTCCCAAGGAAGAAGATTACCGCTCGCAAACTCAACACCAAGGAGAGCACCTCTGTCCCCGCCCCCGTATCTTCCGGTCCCACACAACAGGAGCCAACTGTTTTGATAGAAGAGATCAAGGTAGCTGATGCTGCCGCTTCTTCTTCTTCCTCAACACAAGGTGCCACCTCAGGTCCTGCAGACACACATGCGTCTGTGGATCAGTCTCCAGAGGCACCTAGTGCAGCTGAGACGGCGCCGCTGCCGGAGCCTCTTTCCGTCTCCTCAACTGATGCCATTGTTAGAGACGAAGAAATGGACTTGACTACCGAAAAGACCATAGAAGAACATCTTGACTCCTCCTCCTCCTCCTCCTCCTCTTCCTCCTCCCCTGCTCCTCCCCTCCCTGTCCCCTCGGCTATCCCCATTGTTGAGGACTCTGAGATGGATACCATGCAAGAAGAAGGATCAGAAACAGTACTGACGCCAACCAAGCCTCGCCAAGTCTCTGGCAAAGCAGTATCAGCGGTCTCGTCAAGGCTGAAGCGGACCTTCGTTGACCCTCTCACCGTCTCGAAGGCCTCGCGACCTTCGAGAACACCTACTGCAAAGAACAACGATGCTAGATAATTGCCCTGGGGAGCGGGCCAGGAAGTCACTCAGTCTTTAAAAAAAAAAAAAAAAAAAAAAAAAAAAAGACTCAAACTTTCTTTGCGTGCCTTGCTCCCCTCACAAGAACCGTATGCTTTCACTATTTTTTTAATCAATGATTGATTTTGAAAATCTAAAAGTATGCACACTCAACGTCTGTTCAATTTTCAACCAAGAAAAACGAAGGACGCTCTTCCAATGGCTCAAGACTCAGCCATACGATGTCATTGCTTTGCAGGAAACAGATACCCAGCATCCGCAATGGACAACAGTCAAAAATAATCAGTGGACAAGAGAATGGGGTGCAGGAAAAGCAGTGTTTACAAAGCATTGTGCGATCCTCATCAACAACCCTCGTCTCTTCTACACTCTAAAACAAGACTTTCTCAATGGACGTATTTTAGCGATCGATCTGTATGTCGATGACAACATGGATGAACGTCTTCGCATGATCAACATTTATGTCCCGAGTTCATATGTTTCGGATGTCTCCCTTTCAGAGTTTATTGAAGAATTTCCTGATGAACTCCTTACGCAAGATGACTACCCTCTCGTTGCCCTTGGTGACTTCAACTCTGTCACCAGCACTACACTAGACCGCAACCCTCCCACCAACGAT